CGTTTTTAGGCGTAAAAGACTTTTGTATGAACTGTTACACGTAAACTGAGACATTTTTGTTTTACATGTAAAACGGTCATCTAACGGACAACTAGCCTTCGATTTTGTGTTGGTTTACCCGTGTTTACTCATAAGTTAGTCGTAAATGAGCTTATTTTACGAAACTTATCCCAAATTTTTACGAAAATTTTGCCCATGGGTAGATTAGTCACAATACCAATGATGTGTTCATGTAAAACAAATTTAAAAGAATACGTATGTAAACATTTTGTTGGAGTGATGATGATTTATTTCAATTACCATATTGTATCTGATCCACCCAAACTAGAAGAACTAGAAGATTTGGGAAAAAGACGTGGATATCCACAGAAGGCGACTCTTGCATTGAGTCATTCGCGTTGTGAAAATGGTGATTTATACCTATTATTTCTATATTTTTATGATAACATATTTTGAATAAATATATGTTTAAGAATCAAAAAATATTTTGATGGATGACAGACACTAATATTTTATCATTATGGTAGATCATCACAAAATGATTGCTCACTTCTGTTCAAAATTGTTGTTGGCATACTGTATAGTTCTATGAATTTCTTTTTAAACAGAAAATAAAGACTTTTCTACACTATCAAATCCAATTCACTGAATATTTCTACATTCGTCTTCTTAGCTCACTTTCCATATTACTTTCGAAAAAATTTACTCATTATTGAAAATGTTACTAAAATTTAAATTGTGACTCGCATCTATATCTGACTTTACCCTACGTTATTTTTCCAACAACGCGTAAATACTGGATATAGAGAGTTTTACTTCATTATCCATTGATTAAAGAATAAATTATTCAAAACTTTTATTTTAGTGTCTGAAAAACCAGTATTAGAAATATTTTCATTTATTCATTATATCAAAAAATATGCAATAGAAACGGGTAGTTGTGTCTTTTTCAATATTTACTTTCATAATGGTTTTAATGCCGATTATAGTGCGGAAACAAAGAAAAGACACAACGTACATCACGTAATGTCAATATTAACTATCGTGAAAACAATCATGTGTTACCCTACCCTTTCATTTACAAGTAACGGATCGACAGATAGAAACATAACAAATATTTAATGCATTTCGAGGGAGTTAGTTCTAAATTTTAAGACGAAAAAAGGAACTAATTTCCTTTTAATGCGCTCAACTGATCTCTTAACGAGAGAACGAGAAAGAGAAAAGTTATCTAGTTTAATCTCGAGAATATACATACGATGAGGTGTTCTCCCTTTTCCTCACAGGCCAATAGTAATAACATCTCGTTGTTTTTTCATTCCGCTAATTAGTTATCCTTTTTTACACAATCATTGATGTATAAACAGAAATATAATCGATCAGATAGCAAGAAGTAATTGTGATAATATATACCTAAATCTAAAAAGAAGGCCTAATAATAGATCAGGTAGCATGTGACATACCTTGTTAATTGCATGTACATCTAATACAAATCAAATGATACTTAATCAATGACATATAAATGATAATTGAGATTAATGCCTGACTATATTCGTACTTTTCATACGTCAAGAAGCTAAGAAGTTTATCGAGCCAAATGAAATATGAGAAGTCTTACACCGATAATGAAAATATAGTCTTTATAGATATATGAATTATGAATGTAACAGATAACTTTGCTATAAACATAATACGTAGAAATTATAGAGATGTAGCTTAGTTCTTGTATCTAATTTATAAGCTGATCAAGTTCTTTATGGTTGAAAACTGAATTTTTAATTATATATGTATGCAGTGTCAATTTTGGACTTCAGACAAATTTTATAGAAAATATCAAGATACATCGATGTTTTTACTTAGTGTATTCTCTACTTTGAGTATAAGTTAAATTAACTTTTCATCTCTGATATGATATCTCTGATTACTGACAAGATTAATCAGACATCTAATTTCTATTTTGACAATGACAACCTGATACTTTTGAAAACAAGTGTAATAGAAATTCTTACTTTCTAATATTGAAATTAATTATTCACGTTCTTCTTTAAAACGGAAAATATGAGTATGTATAAAACCGAGACGAAGTAATATGTAATTAACTCATAGAAAATTGATGTTATTACATAGAGATTAAACTCATTTTTTAAAGTTGTACCTGTCGTTTAAACAAAGAAAGTTTACTCGTTTTTCTATATCTAAAAAAGTTTGTATGTCATTCTATACTACTCTTCTCTGTATTGAATAATTACAATTTGTATTATAGAAGAAATGTCTTCCAGTAGACTTTCAGTGGATACTTTTCGCAAATGAGAGATAGTATAGAATTTCGAATCTTCAATGTAGAAGAGAGAGAAAAACACAGAAGGGGGTGTAAAAAAGCAGAAAAGAGAAAGTAGCAGAGAGAGATGATTCCTTTCTCTCTCTCTCTCTCTCTCTCTCTCTCTCTCTCTCTCTGTCTTTCTTTATTCCTAATTGAATTCTTTTCCAGATACACATCTTTTAGTTGAATATGTTGTTATTCTTGATATTTAATGCTCGATATTTTTTTTGTATTTCTAACTAAAATATACATAAACATATTTTCGTACATACCTAGTTGTTAGTCCAATATCTTGTTTCTTTTTTCATAATGATAAATGTTTTAATTAAAATAACTCTCAATATTACCATGTCCATAATCTCAGATTGAAGTAAAACGAATCAATAACGTGAAAAAACAAGGTAAATTAAATGTTATATAAAATGCAACATAAACTCTCCATTGTGTAAAGACAAAATGCATCATTAAATTATAATCTCTTTGACTGCCTATCGATGAGTCTATAGGCGCTTGTTTTCTTCTATTTGAAAACTACGTGCATTCAAGATAAAAATTAAATCAATAATTATTATTAAATGAAATAAGCTTAATAATTAAGTTGACAAGTAGTCTCATAAGCAAGTTTTAAAAGACATTTTAATCGGGTTTATCCTCATTCATCTTATGTTAAGATTCTTATTTTGGAAGTAGAAACAATAGTAAACACAGAATTATACGCATCCAACAGGAGAATCCTGACAGTTTTCATTTCTATTTAAGAAGTGACATGATACAACGGTATAATGACAAGCGTTCATAGGCGGACTCATGTATAATACAGAATAATCTTTTCTATAGACTTTTAAAACGTAGACGCAACAATTTTTCTATAAGCTCGCATAAATGAATGTTTATTTTTATTTTCATTCGTCTAAATCTACATTTTTTACTGTTTTTGATGAGTAAAATTTCAGTACAAATATCTCCAGCATCGTTGAAGAGTGTTTTCTAGCGTTTTTTTCGTTTTGGAATATTTGGTATTGGTCATCACTATTTGTCTTAAAATTGGTCCTATAAGTTTGTTTAAGCTTTTTTTTATTTTAATTATACATTGAAATATCGCATACGTGAACAACCTCAAAAAGAAAAGGCGTCAAAATACGAAACAATTGAGAATTATGCATTCAACATTAAACAGTAATGGTTTACAACAAATCGTTCAACAATCTTGAGACAAAGGATTTTCTTTTTCTTATTTTTTTGTAATATTTCGACCGGAAACAACAAAAAGCACTTACCGTGCGTAGATTAAATGCATTATATAGAGAATAGTGAAGTGAAGTGAGATCAAATGAGAAAGGATTGTCATCTAAATATTTTGTTGAAGTATAAAGAAAATTCACTAACATTTGTTATAATCATATATACACTACTTTTTTATTGCTCATCTTGATGTTAGATTGAATTTGACATCATCATCCATTAAGCTGTTATGTTATTAATGTCACTTTTGTGTCTCCGGACACAAAAGAAACGCCACTTTAATGTGGAAATTTAGCCCCAACTTGAAAGAAGAAGTGTCGAGAATATGTTTACAACTATAAAATCGAATTAATGAAATTGTGCTAATTCATTATTTGAAACGTATAAAATGCATTAAGTGGATTTTTATACTTTATTGAATTGTATAATTTCTAATGCGTTATTCTTTTTTTTAGTTTTATTTTAATTAAATGTGATGGATAGCAGTTCATTAGTCATCAGTGATTCTAATCATTCGGGAGATGATTCTAATCTAACAAATGACACACCAACGTTACATGCACGAATTGGCTTTGCATGTGCCTGGGTTATGATAGCTGTTGCTGGTGTTATTGGTAAATGAAAATTTGCATATTTTTTGTAGACTATTTTGCTATTGTTTTTTTCTTCGCTTATAGGAAATGGTTTAGTCATATTTGTGGCCATAAGATTTCAAAAGTTAAACAACGTTACAAATTGCTTTATTGTCAATCGTATGTATCTGAATACATGAAGCACTCATACACTAATAAATCGAGTGTTTTATTGCTTTATTATTAATTTTCTTCAATAAACCAAGAGAACAGTAAAATATATTAACAAAATACAATATATTAATCAAAAACACTGTATTTAAACCCCGATCCTTATAAGCTCTGTAAAAACCTTGGACAAGTTATTCATGTCCTAATGCTTCGAATCATCGGTTCGACAGCATATTCACAACATTGCGACGTACAATATAGCTCCTTTGATTAGTCTTCGTGGCTTCGAAAAGCTAGTATGGGGTTGGTGTATGTATATTAGGAGCTGAAGCAATTGGGCGACAGATTTCTGCGTCAGGTTAGCTTTCTGACTAGAACTGCACTGGATAAGTGGATAGTTATTTAAAAAGCTTGACAACTATAGGAAAGATATCCGGTTATTGAAACTGACACTTATCAGCACTCTACATCGGTAATGATAGATATAAAAGCGTCTTCGAAAAAGCAGTCTGGAGTTCTAATACTGACGTTCACTCTAAGATCCTCAAAAAAAAAGTGTTGGTCAGTATCATGATGACAGTCCAGATTTTATGATAGACGTTGAATTTCAAGCATATTTTTTTTTTATTTAGTTGCCATTACTGATATTGTATTTTTGGCGTTTTGTATGCCATTACTCGTTGTTCAATATACGTTAGATCAGTGGTTTTTTAGTGAAATATTGTGTAAATTACTCAATTTCATCTCATTTGTCAGTGTACTCGTCACCGTTCTCACATTAGTCGTAATGACAATTGATCGATATATTTACGTTGTACGACCATTTGAAAATTTAACATGGCGAAGACCGTCAACCGTTTTTGGTCTAAGTTTTTTTATCTGGATAAGTATGTATACTTTGTTAAATCAATTTTTAATTTATAAAATAAAATTGATTTTTTGCTTCTTAGTTTCTTGTGGATTTGCCTCACCATTCTATCAACATTATGGTATTAGTGAGAAACACGACGATTCAAAGTGGCAATGTGTCCTATTAAGTCCAGAAAATTTGCAGAAAAAATTTCGTATCTACACCGTTACACTCTATTATTTTATACCGCTGACAATAATTATTGCCTGTTACGGAAAATTGCTATTTTATGTATTCAAAAAAGAAAATAAACTGAAACCAAAAACAGTAAGTTAGAGATAATATATAGAAGTCATACAGATAAAAGAACCTAAAAAATTGTTTTAGCATATATTCATATTTTTGTAGAAAAATAAGACTATGGCCTTCGCTTTCATAGGGTAGTAGGTTTGTAGATAAGTTTGACTAACAAAAAAAAACTGAAATTGAGAAAAACGGTGCTTTTGGAAACAAAGTATCGAGTGATAATTATATTGAAGGATTGTCTTACGTCACAACTAAATGTTTAATGAATAGATATCGGTTTTTCAGCGTGTTTCTTCCTAGCTTTTATCATCGTATAGTAGCTAAAATAATATTGGATCTTGTTGGAAATAATTTTCTGATGAACTCTCTAACTTCTATATCCAACAAACTGTTATAAAACCATGAATGATATAACCACACAGTTTCAGACAACTACAATATTTCTTTCAATCATCGGTCAAAGACAAGTGATTCTACTAAATTGGAGTTATACTATTTTATAAAAGTTGTAGTATTGACTATCAATTAAAATATTGCGAAAACTAGTTGAAATACTTGTCAATTATTGTAATAAGAGGAAACATCACTGTATCCGCATCATAGCCAAATCTTCTAAAAGGGAAACAAATTTGAACAGGATATAATTGGCATTAGTTTAATTATCCTTTTCTTTATGGTACAAGTTTCCTCTTATTCTCAATTTGTGTAATTAAAATGTTAGTTTAGTTGAATTATATATGTCTTTCATTTAGAAAGACAATGTTGCCCGATGGTCAAAAAAACGTCGAGCTGTTACCAAAATGGTAGCCATTGTTACTGTTGTCTTCTCAGTTTGTTGGCTGCCTATAACATTATTAATTATCTATCCGTGGGAACAAAAACATAAAACCGTATTTCTCTATTATTTTAAAGTTATTGCTAATTCACTATCCTATTTAAATTCATGTTGCAATCCAATCATCTACGCATTTCTTAACCGAAGTTTTCGGCAAAATTGTGGAAGTTTATTATCGCGTCCATCTTGTTCTCTGTTATGTGGTGAAGAACATTTTCATCATTCAACAAACAAAAGTTTCATCAATCATCCACCTCCTGATACCTATGAGAGTAATAATGACAATAATAATCACCAAAAAAAAATTAAATTTCTTATATCACCACGAATTGCTAACAATGATTTTTCTGATGCTGAGAACGACAATGAAGTCTCAGTTGGTAAAAGTAGACGAACACGAAAAAAAAGTCATGAACTTATAACATATGGTAGTCATTTGACAGAACCATTGAGCACACAAATAGGAACCGAACCAGTGAGCGTCTAAATCAACTATAGTGTAAATATGTTGACAATTTAGTATTTAACAATTTTCTTGTTCTAACGAGAATTAAAATAACCTGTATATGTGCAGCTGTTGAAAAAATAGGACAACTTATACTAGCTATTTTTAATTCTAATAAAATTAATGTTAATTTATTTGTTAGCATTACATAGATATTAATAATATTGTTTCGATGTTTTGGATGATAACAAGTCTTTTATGGGGTCATTCTCAGGAAAAATTTCTTTTATTTTACAATCGATTTTGATGAAACTTACAAAGATTAATTACTATAATCTAACTAGCTTATGCTAAAAATTTGAACTCAAAAAGTTGGACATTTGTCGAGTTATGGGTGTCACACGAAGCAATTTTTAACACAAATGTCTTAGCTTCAAAAGAAAAAAGCGTATCCAACTAAACAAGAAACTCAATTCCGGCTTTTTTTAATCAAAAACATCGATTTCTGAGGAGGGACCCCTTTGTAGATTTGAACAAGCAAAGACTACCAAACTTATTGCGCGAAAATGAGCTCACAATCTAAAACTTAAAGATAATTATTGACGATATCTTAGTTGTCTGATAGGTGTTTGATGTACCGTAGTGCGATGATTCTATTCGTTCTTCTTACTCTCAGACGATACATCGAATATTTGTTGAATTAATGGTTACCCTAGGCAAAATCCTACGCACTTCCTGTCTATTTCACACCAGGATCGTAACATTTAGGATCCACGTAGTAACCTTCTAGCAGGATCCTAAAATGCTAGGATCCTACTAGGATTTCGCTTAAGTTTGTTTAGGATCCTAACAGAATATTAGAATCCTATTACTTTCGGGTATACCTGATTTTATTAGGATTCTATAGGATTTTGTTAGAATCCTAAGAAATTAAAGCGAAATCCGAGTAGAATATTGGGAGGATACGTCTCGGATCCTGTCAGGAAACTCATAGAGATTTTACTAGGGTAATCATATTCTCAACTATTTTTGATTTTCATCGCAACACCCATCGATCAGTGCCACAATCATTGGCCAAGTCATTGTCGTAGAAACTTAATGCGAACATGCCAATCATCATTCTATTCACACTGAAAATTCGAGTGTCTGAATATGTGCTCGAAGACACACTTCGAGAGAAAGGAATTGAGTAGCTGGTAACATTCTAAAACGTAAATGATAGACTGACTTCGCCAGCCCGATTTGAGTAACGATGCTCTTCGGTTCGATAATTGATAAACCAGTTCTTAGAACAGGTAGTGACGATGGTATTTGTTTACTCAAGCCCATTAACAGAACCACACACAGAGAATAAAGATCGATCCATAGTCCTACAAGACGTGAAATAAACACTGGGCTTTACTCCAACTAATAATTCCGATTGTTGATCAAATCGACTGTTCTGTCTTGTACAATGAAGCACTGCCATTTCTCAACGAGTTTTGATCAGATGCTGCTGATTTACTTAGATCAACAGTCGATATGATGATCAATAACAGTGCTAAGATGATGAGTATTCGTTTAATATCTTTTCCCAAGCCGCGGAGAGATTAGTAGAGAATTTTGTTCCACAAGTTTTACCGAATAAAAACAATCATATTGTTCTGTGTTTCCTAAGGGTACATTTATCAAGAATCAACAGTATAGTCTAATCTGGTTTCTTTCTGGTTGAATTAACGTGCCGTGGTCTCTTCTGGTTGTTGATAGTCATGAAAGTCAAAATAAAGAACGAAACAGCTAATGAATTGCTGTTAATTTTACTTATACTCATTCAGAATTTCTTTTCTGGACTTGAGAGGTTTTTTAAGAAACCACCTGAGTTGATCGAGAGAAATTCATCCGGAAAGAAGTCATCCAGATTCCAACATGTCCGGCAAATGATTTATCCGGACATCGTGTATTCTGAATGAATAGTTTTCGGATGAGTTAAAAAAAGGATTTTAATAATTCAGATTTCATGACACTTACTCAAATTTAGTTTGAATACTAAAGAGAGAATATTAGATCCTAACAAGTTATATGCGGTAACTACTAGTCACAAAAACAATGTTTGTCTACCTCAACAAAGATCTGTGCATAAAAACCAACCTAAAGATTAATAATTATTTTGTTGTGATAATGCTGGTATGTACGATGCATAGAAATCTATTGATCCTGAAAGTTTTATAAAGACTATACTCCATTTTTCCGAGCCGTGAAGAAAGAATTTAGAAATTTCTTTTGATGATTGAAACTGATGAAAATATGAAGGGATAATGAAACATAAAAACAGATAAATCGTCAACATCGTACAAGTATTTCTTTTTTCTTAATGATACTATGTTTGACAGTTCTGATAATGTTATTAATAGAATTTTCTCTGCATATTGTACCCTGAGATAGAAGACGGGTCAATATAAGAACGAGTATGATATGCAACAGAAAAAAGGGTTTTATAATAGTCAGCAGCTATTTTCTCCATAAGAACGGATTTTGAGGCAAATTTGTCAGAGTAAATATGGAATTAGACAAAGAAGATGATGATTTAGCACTTTTTTTCGTATTGGATAAAAAGTTCATAAATTATTAATCTTAAGTAACAAAAAAATGTATCCCTAGGGAACTTTGAGATGTTCTGATCAGGATAAAAGAATTATAATCTGACTTACAGAGACTAATATTTTCAGATTTCTGAAACCTCAGAACGTCTAAAAGTTTTCAAGGACATTTTTCTAAAAACGAAGATTAGAATAAAGTAAAAGTGAAAGAAACTATGATTACTAAAGAATAACATGCAAAAACGTACTATTTGAATGCTGTGTACCGCATCCAACAAATGACTCTAAGAGTTTTCCGCATTCCTAATTCTCTCTAATTGTTTTAAATCAAACATTTATCCATATTGCATGACAGAAAGTGATCGGAGTTCGACTACTAGTTGGCAATATTAACGACGCAAGTCTTTGTGGTACTCAAGTAAATATTGATTCAATACAATCTACAACAAGTTTTTATTTGTAATTCTGATGTTTAATAAAAATTTCTACTACAATTTTTCCGTCCAATGTTATTGCCACTATGACGGCATAATTCCCAGAAAATCACAGTAGACCTATTACTATTTGATAAATCCTTTCTCCAAACTTAATTGCATATACTTTTCGGTTAATACCGGAATACCAAATAGTTTGTTATAGATTTTTTTAACTTTCGTAGCGATGGTCGATACGCGCGTCAATGATTTATGACTAGTAATCCAATCTACAAAGCAAATTTATTCCATCAAGAAGTCAAATTTTTAACGAATGATTTTGGTACTCGAGAGGTTGTCTAGTTATTTAATTTGCATAAGAAAACAAGTAAAATATTCACATCAACGAAAGAAACAAAAGTAATATTAAACAAGCACAGAATGATTATTTAGTGTATCTTCACGCACATCTGTATTCTGTGTTAATTCTAATTGTTCATTAATTCTATTTGATAATCTTGGAAGGTTAACATTCTCCCCACAATGTTTCAATAATATCGTCCATTCATCTAACGTTTTGTCATTGAATAGTTTGGCTGATGATAAAGTATCATCACATAATGAAATAATGAAATTATTTTTAGACGTTTTAGCTAAATCTAATAATTGTTCGATGAGTGATGACGATGATGAACTGGTGGGTATATAATCGAGCACAACTTGATTAAGTTCTATGATAAGACAACATTGAATACAGACGCAACTGGATTCATCACAAATTAATTTTTTTTCATTTTTAAATGTTGAACGATTAACAAAACAAGCAAATCCCCATGTACATCCGTTTGTAGAAAATGGTCTTGTTAATGTACATTTATTGGTAAATATTGGTGAACGTTTGGGATGAGATAAAAGAGATAATGAATAAAAATTCACATTGAGTGGTGCACCATCATACAAATTAACATATAGACCAATACTTCTCTGTGAATAAGCATCATTTCGTGGTATTAATTGTAATAACCATTTTGAATTTGTTTTTGTATGTTGATATATTGGACTAGTTAATATTTCGTTTGATTTTATTTTAAGAAATTTTTTATAAGTAACTGACCAAGTAAATTCGAATTGTTCCATTCGTCTGAAAGAAAATAGTGCCCTTTTTCCTTATAATAATCAGTCTAGCTTACGTCCTTTAGTAATGTTGGTAACTGAAGATTACAGACAACTAAACATAAGCTTAATCGAAATCAAAACTTTTTTGAGTTGCAAATTGATATCATCATTTAGCTCGATCTATCTGATTAGAGTCTAACTGAATGCGCTAGTGTTACAACATTATAATAGTGTAATAATTACCAAACAAAGTACAGAAATAATATTTTCAGTCAAGTTTAGTTCAGAATTTTATAAATCCAATTCAGAAGTACACGATCTATTTTAAGGATAAGTGAAAAAGTGGCTATACAGATGTCTGTTTTATGATTTTGACAGGATCAAAATAATTTTTTCCCTTTCTATATTTGTTCGGAACTCTCATATATATATATATGAACCATATGCAGTAAGAAGTAACTACTACGCAGAAGCCGTCAGACATCGACGAATAAATGCCACACTGTTATTTGTTTTACAGAAAGAAAAGAACAAAACGAGCTTTTTTTTGCGACAGAAAATGTGCTATATAGCTATTTCTGTTAAATAAAAAATAGTCTGGTGGTTCCATTATGAATATTGAATCACACAATGAAAGAAAAATTCAGTTCAGTTTTAGAAAAAGAAAAGGCCTAAAAGTTCGTTTAGAAAAGGGCGAAGAAGCATGATCCAGATGATCAACACTTTATGTTAAATAAGCTTTTTTCAACTCATATTCATCTCCCATCTTCTCGATGTGGCATTAAGGTGACATCTATCCGATGAGATTATGACCTGGATGCATAAATTTTAAGCCGTCAAAAGCCATTTTTGTCCATTATTTTTAAGAATACATACAAAAATCTAATGTGTCTTAACTTACACGACAGATGTTGCTTAGCAATGTCCTATGGGTGTATATGAATGAAGTGACACATGCATTACTCTTTGAAATTGTCAGTTTGGCTCACAGAACAAAGATACAACTAGCCTTTTTAAATACCTATAATTTAGACTTTCTTTTCCGACAAAAAAGTGCTAGTATGGTATTTCAGCATCGCCTCACATTCAATTTCGTTTTTAGAGAAAAAAAAACTTATCAAACATGGAAGTGGAACGTAGTAAAACTTTCGATGAAAAACCTACATACTTGTCTCCTTATGAATATACCAAAACCGGTATGATCGGTGAACAACGAGACACAATGCTTGCAAGCCCACTTCAGCTGCTCGTAAGTAACTTGACTGTAAAGACAGCAAGTATTTGATACTGAATATGATTATTTTTTCCTTGTTTTGTGTAGCCTGAATTAGGAAAGTCGTTAAGACGAGGACACAAATTACCTGCACAAAATTTTACGTATGGAATTACACTACCAAGACGAGATGGAGGCGTTGCCGAATGTATGTTTCTTACATCTTTCTTAATCTCTATTTTAGAGATTTGATGTTGTTTAGCTATGTATCATTGGTCATCATTAGACAAAACGGGATCCGCCAGTAATCCTGATTTTGAATATGTAAGAGATTATTCCGCATTAAATAAAGCAGCTCTTGAAGCAGGCATGATATCAGCAAAAGATCAATCAAGATTTCGGTACGCTATAAGTACACATTTAATATATAATTTAATTCTATGATTATTTAGAACTGTACATGATATTAAAAAAAAAGTTTTCATACGAGATATATCACATAAAAAGAAACCAATGCGTTTTTCCGATGATATGGTTTTTGGTACACCATGCAGGTATTACGTGTGTTCTCTCGTTATTTCTTCAATTTATCAACCGTTGGAATATTTTGTAGACCATCGACGCCAATCAGCGAAGTATTAGAACATAAATTTCTAGACAAATGGGTTGAAAGTATGCGTGAAAAAGAATTAAATTCCAAAAAACAACGAGAAGATGCTGCTGTATGAGAAGAAATACGTTTTTTTTCAGCTCCTTTCTTGCTATAATATCTCATTTATTTCTAGAATGCATTCAAAGGAAGCTATCACACAAAAGCAAGTTTATTACGACAAGCTAAAATACCAGTAGAACCCAAGCAACTTTGGCAATTACCCAAATTTGCTAAAGTAAACGTCTATTCAATTTTTTTCAGAATAAGTTATTCAAATTATCTTTTATATTTCACTAGGGTGAAGCTCAAATTGATTCGTTTCGTACTGATGATGAAAGAAGAAAAGCATATAGTGCAACGACATATGACTCTCTAGCTCGACAAGGAACATTTCATACTGGAATTTATAATGTTCCACGAACAACAGTCAAAACATGATAATAAAATCATGACAAATTTGTATAATCAAAACATTTTAAATAATATATATAGCCATTTCCTTCTTTTTCTCTTGAATAATGTGTATAATTTTTTCTGCAAACGGGAAGCCTGGATATGTGACATCAAGTTGATTAACTAATTGAATTTAAATAATTTTTTAATGTTTTATCTTCTTTGACTATAATAAACGTTCTAGATTTCGAAACTTCGCAGAGCTAGAGTTTTGACCGAGTAGACGATTTACGTTTCGTTAATCGTTTTCTATTTTAATTAGTTTTTTTTGCATAGGCAAAGAAAGAAAAATATAATTTTCATGGTATAGAATTTACCTTCCACTAATTATTTTGACGAAAATAACAATCGAATGACAAAATAAGGAAATAAATACTCGTTACAGCTAATAAATTTTTCAAATGTAACGAACATTCATCAATAAGGAATAAGGAAAGATATGACTAACGGAAATGACTAACTAACTAAACAGAAACGAACAGTGCTCCATAAATCTAGTTGTTAAATAATGGAAAATACTGAGAAAGTTAGAGTAGTAATCACCATATTTACCGAAATTATTTATTTGGGAACTACAACTGTCATTAACATGATGATCTTTGTCAAAATGTGTATAAAGATAGATATACGTAACTGTATGCTCATAATATTTTTAAAAAATGTTTATTAATTATTGAATTTACACATAGTAAAAGACAATTATGTTACTGTGGTTATGGATCTTGTTTTAAACGTAAAAATCAATATGAGTATTATGTGCATGTGAAATGCAAAGCAATAGCAACAACTTATCCAGATTTGTCAGTCGTCACACGAGATGAGCATACACAGATGGAACTGATATGAAAATATTACAAATTCAAAAAAATTTAAAACTTAACTCCTTGCCATAGAATGACGTGATGTTCACGTCACGAACTCTCCATCACATCGAAAGAGTTTGACGTGGTTTGGTATATATTTTTTCTGTCACAGAACTACTTAGCAAGCTCTGCTTTGCACATAGATAGACAGTTTGAGGTGTCTGTCACCCCATGCAGCCAAAAATAAATTTTCAAAGTTAGATTAAATGGTTTTAAAATTACTCACAAAATAAGGATCAAAATCTTTTTTAGAAAAGAAAAAAAAATTTGGCATCTAGACGTCAAAACAAATGAGCCCTTTGGTGGAGGATTGAATTCTCTATCCGATGGTGTATTTTTCAGAATTTTTGGAAAAAATATCTAGATCAGGAAATTAAATTTAAAATTTAAAAATTTTTTCACCACAAAGATTTGAACTTTCATTTGTTTTTGAGTCCAGATTTGTAATCACCATGAAAAACTGCGTCTAATGATGTATTTTTAAACTTTGTTCAAGTTAAAACAAAAATTCGTACGTTCTCATCCGCAAAGATTTTCACTTTGGGTATCTTGAATAAGGAAAATAATACTATGCCAAGGGGTTAAAGCTGTTGAAAAATCTGGATCAATAGATTGTACTGTTGAAGAAGCATGTCATGCTGTTAACTGGCATATATTTTGTAATCAATGGAAAGTAAATCGTGTAAACCGTTTTGAAATAAACGCCAATAATTCCTTTCCTACTAGCTTAAACCAATGCATAAAATAAAAACTATTTAAGTATATCAGTGCTAATAATCCGGATGATTTCAAAACAACATATTCTCTACGTAAGAGTAATACAGAATTAAGTAATGTTTTGATGATCTACTCGAGAAATTAATTGAACTTTACTATGAAAATGTATTCTTGATGATAAAAATAATAGGGTATTTCGTCAGTTCACTTTATTTTTTCCTTTTCTTATAATAGAACCTAATAACAGTAAAAGTTTTCGTTTTTAGACAAGATCTAACAAAGAGAAGAATTAAATAAGACGCATACATCTACATATTACAATGCTCAAATGAACAACACAGAGAAAAATGCATCCACAAAGATACAGAATATGAAAATGTAAAGCACAGAACAACCAATGATTGCAATAATAAGAAAAGAATACACAAATGAACTATTCGAATCTTTTAAAATGAAACAAAAATTAGAAAAAAGAGACATCATTCTGAGAGTGTTTGGTCGGTATAGATATAATCAGTGTAAAGGAAAGAGTTCATCTGAACGAATTTTCACAAAAAAACACAAAAGTTCGACAATATCAGCAATAACAGGAAAAATAAATATGTATTTTTCATAGTGAGAGACTAGAAGAAACTAGAAAGAAAGACGAAGAAAACACACAACGAAACATATTGGAATTAATTTCAATGATGAGTATGTGCACATGTTATCATTATACTAAATAACAGAATGTAAAACACAAAAAAAATAGATTATTCTAAGAGATCCTACCTGATGGCGATCTTTGCTGTTCGACATAGGCGTTATAAAGACATGACAAAAAATCTTCATCAGTCTAAATGAATAAAAAAACAAAGCCATTGTAGTTGGATCTTCTAGTCAATAGACTTTTACATATATATCGTTTTACGCAAATTCTTTTATTCAAATTATAACATTCTAAATAATCAAATTTGATCCTTCATATACGTACCTGTAACATTTTAACAAGCAATTGCTTTAAATGATCTTTGGATATCTGAGCTACATTTTGTGTTTGGCATCGACAACAGTGTTGCGCTGCTATAGAATCGATAAAATAAGTTATAGTACAAAAATGAACATGTACACATGTTTTATTTATTTACTATTCTTCGTCGTCATTCCGGAAAATAAAATTTTATTTGTATCGGCGAAATCAGCTGGTGTCATTAATCTATTACCAATATTTGAATCAAACGATGATGAACACTAGAAGAAAAAAATTCACCATATACGTGATTGATCTGAAACTATTCGAAAGGAATATTAACCATAGAACGTGATGGCCATTCAGTATTTGCAGTGGACAGTGTTGGATTTTCAAACAGTTGACTATTTGTATGATGAGGACTCATTAGAAATCTTGGTGAAACAGAAAGTGGTGGTGTTGAGACTGAGCCCTATAAAATTCAAATAGAATATTCGTTATGTTGACATTAAAGATGATTTGTATATCTTACATACTTCAGATGAAATAGCCGACGGCTTAATATCTCTCATATCTGATACATTACTATTGGTGTTTGTTGTATCACATGAAACTAGAGAACTTGATGCCGATGGAGACTTTTCATTTTGAATTGAAGAAGAAGTGACTGTATTAGCTGTTGTGATTGTCGATGCTGTACCATTCAACAACTGACGTTCCAGATCTTGAACACTCAAAGGAGGTTTTGTTGGTATTCCTAATGTTTTTTTCAATTCATTTTCAAGTTCGTCATTGTTTGGTGTTGTAACTGTTGGATCTTTAGAAAACAAACGTGCCAGACATAATGGCATTGCTGAATTTGGTGTTGATGGTACACTGGCTGAAGATGCAGTGGTAGAAGGAGTAGCACTAGTTGTTGTTGTGGATGTTGTATCCGTGCGTTGTAGGGAAGCAAATGGATTTGTCTGTTGAATTTTGGCACTCCTGGTTGATGGTGTAGTCACTGAAGAAGTAGGTAAAAGTTTTTGCACTACAGGTCGTTGATTATGACTGTTGCTAACAGTATTCGTGGTAGATGTACGCGTCGTTGTTGTGAGTAATACAATTTTATTTGATGTATCTGGAGTAGTGACTGATTGTTGTCTTTTCTAAACAGTACAAAGCGTTCTATAGCATCTATATCTTCAGGCTTAAACAAATGCACTTTCTAAAGAAATGCATTAAAACTGTACTCAAAACACAATTTTCTCGCGCTTATGGAGTATAATTTTAATATCATTCCACGTTAACTAGTTGTGTTCTTGGTAGGAATGACTTGAAATTTATCTTTAACTCCTTGCTTACGTAGTCCTGAAATTTTTCTTGTGCTCCAACTAGCATTTTGAAAATATCCACATTTTGATCGTTTCCATTTGCTGATGAAGACGAAAATGAGGAGGATGCCGATGAAAGTTCATCAGTTGCTTTTTTTTCATCATTGGACGATAATAAGTGGCGCAGCGACTGTTGATCGTTTAGATGATTACTAACTAATGACAGTGACTGTTTCGATGTTTGTTGCTGCTGTTGTAATTTTTTGAAAGCTCGCTCATTAGCAGCAGCTGTTAATCTGAACAGGAATGTCCACAGGAATATAGAGAATAAAAATGAGAATATTTCATAAATACCTTTTTAAACATTCTGTGACTTCTGGACAATCTTTACTTGAGATAAACCATAGGCCGTAAATATCTGCAATATGAAAATTAACCGATTTATCTTTGGAAAAGAGAATTTTTACACAGATCTTACCAGAAGCATCGACCTTATATTGTAGAAAGCACTCGCCACTTTGTTCAAACTGCATATTTGGTTTCAATATTTGTATAAATGTATCCATTGATACTGTACTCTGTATAGCAAAGCCATTATAGGGTTCACAATTTCTAAAACGAAAGCTTCTATCATTAGAAAACTATTTTGTAGTAAATGAACAGTACCTTTCGTATACAAATAATGTTCCTTCAAGATCTTTTCGTTCCTAAAACAAAAAAAACATGTAGTAACAAAAACTTCTGGGCACCTAGCTTTGATATACACACCCATTCTTGTTTATCAGGCAAAAATTTATAAACGCAAACACGCTGTGCCTGATCAAGAATTTTTATTATGTAAGGATCACGATTTTGTAATGCTTGTAAATTTATTCGATTTAAAGGATCTTCCCCATTCATTATTGCTGTTGAATTTGGTGGACCCATAAAACTGAGAAGAATTAAACACTAAAAATCCTTAACGATGTCGTTTTCTGATAAAGTGTACAATGGTATAATAAATATGTTTCAGAATCTAAAAATAGAAAATAAATGAATACCGTTAACTCTTTCAGCATCCGCCTATGAGAACAACGTATTTAAGGAAACCCAGAAGACTATAAGTATTCGATAACTTATTGCATAAAGGCAAACGACATTTAAACTTTCATGAGAAAAAAAGATTCCCGGTTAATCTCTTACGATTTCTTATCTGTTTTTTTTTCTAATTATACGCAAAAGGATGTGTTAGCTCAGTAAGAAGACAAAAAATCGTAGCCACGAGGCGGCTCGATAGGCATAAATCTCCTACAATGTAGAAAGCAGTCAAGAAGTTTTGCGTATTTCGTCTAAAATGAAATTCAATAAAATGGTTTTTGTTGCTTTTGAAATTTTATTTTATACGGAGCCGCACGAAAAACTGATGATTAAAAAAAACAAAAACCAACTTTATATCGCTGAATAGTACATAATTCTTCATTGTTATCTAACAGCACCTTCTACGAACAATACGACAGTACATGGCGCATTTCAGAGCTTGAGAAAATTATGAAGCTCGCAACAAGACTGATTTCTGGAAAATTTTATGGATCCGTCAGCGAACTGATTAGGAAATTAAACCTTTCTGACCTCTCTGTCAGAAGAAAATATTTTCGTCTTCTCCATGTATTCCAACTAAAAAATAACATCTCATCTCGTTTTCATCTGTCACTTTTTGAGAACATTAAATCGATTTAGAGCCAATAAGTTAGAAAACACTAATCGTTTCACAAAAGCAGCATCCATATTTTATATAAAATATGGACGCTCTTTTTGTGAAACGATTAGCATTTTTTGAGACTTTAACAGATCGATGTTCGAATCGTTTGAACTCTGACAGAATGAATTCTCCTCGAATATAAGAACATCTCTTGTAAAAACAATTCATTTACAATCATCTTTTTTCTTCGCTCGGCCCTCCTCTTTTTTGTTTGTGTTTTACCTAACGTAAAGATCGCCGTCAGTGTTTTTGATAGGATCTTTTTTTCACTTTACTGTTAGCGTCAAAATGGGAGTTTCCACTTTGATATGAAATGTAAAGTGGACAAAATGCGAACAGTTGAAATTGTTGTCTAATATAGCCTAAAAGAGATTTTTTTATCGTCACAGGGGTTTCGTTTTATCACTTTCAGTTAAATGGATCGAAACTAACTTCTCTACCCTGATCAATTACAAATTTAACAACAAACATTTCAGATGACTCACCTAAAACAAACTGTGAACTAAAACAATAGCTGTAAGTTGAACGCTTCTGAAGAAAAAGAAATGCTGTAAAACTTATATACGTTTAGAAAGAAGTCACGAATTTTTTTTGACTAATATCCTGTTGATGTTAATCTTCAGACACTAGCCATGTCGTTTTGTGACGAGAATTAGAGGATTAAACAGAAATTATACTGATTCTCTCGCCCACAGGTGCTCAACAAACAGACTTCGATGGGTTCATTTTGTAAGGCAGAAAATATGAAAAAGGATAAAATGCAACAAGCGCCGTGCTCTAGACCAGTTATCAGTATCATCTCTTTTTCTGCTTTCCTGATCATCATATGTACATTTCATATGTACATTTATTTGTTGTAAAAGTAGTAAGTAACAAAAACAAACTCAGTTCAGTTCAATTATTTCCAGAATTTCGTATAGTTTTTAAAAAAGAGCAAGCAATCCACTCCTAATTGGCTCATTTGGTATGCACTCAGACCTCACTACCGTCTGTCACCAACTCTGATTGGCTATTTTTTTTAACTAATCAATAACGGGGTGCACGGACAGGCGCGTCTCATACATTTCCATACATACAACTCGCAAGCCGAATGCATGTAGAGCATAGATGTGTCGGAATCAAGAGAAATGCATCAATCTTGCATGCCCGAGAGATTTACCGGAAGCTTGTATTGATCATTAACACGGCCATTTACCTTTTAAAAAAAGAGAAATAGCTATATCGCCGACTGAAAGTCGGTGCACATGAGCAAAAAAAGTGCCTGTGAGGACACTGATTAAGAAAAATTAAGAAGTGATTAGTTAATCACTAACGGGTTCAAATATTCTAGAAAGTTTCTACATTTCTGTTACAAACTCAGCCTAACGAGGGTGTCACATGGTCCCAAAATTAAGGACTGTCACTGCCTCGTGCAGTTTTTGGGACACGTACTCTATGTAAGCGAGCTACATATAAGCAAACATTATTTTCAGGTCGAAAAGCAATTCTAAATGGCAAGAAAAAAACTCAGCAACTTCAAAAAATTGCTGTTAAAATCGAAGGTTTTGACATTTCTAATCTCATCTAGATCGTTGGTTCGAAGAAAGAATTTTTTACCACAAAACGGGAACTGCGAGAAAATACAAGAATAAAAAACAGCAAAAGAGGTTGATTAGTTGTACAGATACATACAGCAAAAACAAAACAGACAAAGTGGCGGGAGATTTAGCATGAGAATTGGACTTTTCAAAACTATGTAGAGGTTAATGCCGGAAGAAAAGCGCTTAAAAATTTTGTCTTCCGCTCGGTTATCATTAAGTTCAGCTATCTTTGATAAGGTTTAGGTCAGGTACCTTTTGATTTATGAATACGGGTTGGCAGTGCGGGTTTTCATCCCATAAAATACACTAATATATTATCCTATAACAGCCATTCCAGATGATCGGCGACTGCCCAGATCGCTGATTCCGGCGTCAGGATCCAACACTAGAACATGCCGCAAGTTGTCGGAATTCGGTAAAATCTGGCAGCAACCATGCCGGAAATTCACTGCTCGGAAGATGTCGTAAAAGATCCGACCGAATCCTTCGAATTTCAGACATCGGATTTCACTCAATTTGGCAGAATGTGATCAGTCTTTAGGTATTGTAAGTCTAAAAGTAGCCATAAATTTTTTCTTTCATTTTCTAGTGGTCCCTCTCTCTATTCATTCGAGAGAGTGGAAGGGCTCACCAACTAGGATGACCGTTGGATGTATGAACGATGACTCGCACCGTTAAAAATTTGACAAGAACAACTTCTCACTTTTCATTTTCTGTAGTGTCATATTTAAAGTGCTCCTGTCGTGAAATAAAACGGTGAATATATTAAGCGCACACAAAAGAAAGAAAAAAAATAAAGTGCAATCACATGATCCTTCAAATTCCGGTCACCGAAAATTAACGGATCCGACTGATTCCGGATCCTCCAGGAATATCGGAACGCGAAGGAATTCAGCAGATTCCGATCTCTGAATCCGATCGGACGCTCGATCTCCGAAAATTATCGGAATTAAAAGGACCCAATCGCGCGAATTCGACTGAGTACTGTATCGCAATGAAACATTTTCATACAATTTTGAAAACTTCATTAGACAGAGGATCAGAACACTACAACGCCTAAATGTGGGAGCTTCTAATTCGCACAAATAAAAACCGCATCGAAAGTAGCGACTTTAGCTGAAAATTTTCAAAATCGATTTTCTCCCATGCATGGCATAACAGGAATTTTGGAAATATTTGGGGCACAAGTGGTCCCAATCTTGTTTTGTTACTGGATGAAATTAATGATAACGTGGAGAAGACAAGACTTTTCCAATTGTTTTTCGAATTAAACTGATAAAAATATAACCAAAATAACTCGGATAGCCACCGAAGAAATAAACAGTTCATCTTCTTCACTTCATAGCCCTAGTAAAGCTAAAAAATTACAAGACGATAGTCGTCATATTCTAGTTGCATAGTCTAGGTTAAAGCATTCGCTTACGGTCAATTGGATTTTATCTGTTGTTTGTGTAAGTGAAAGAGAGAATGTAGCACTGCAAATGATGAAAGTGACTACTAGGGATGTAACCGGTATCAAAAATGCGATACCGCCGGTACCGGCCTGTCTTGATCATTTTTTGCCTAAATACAAACACTTTTTCCTGGTTTATAGAAATATGTCACAGATGAACTGAATTTACACGATATTTTTCGCCAAATCGTATCATATCGCAAAATACCAGTAATGTCGACCGATTGATTATACTTCATACTAATACTGGTATACCGGTCACCGTTATAATTCATACCGATACCGGTTGCACCTCTGCTATATGTTCCTTTTAAGTATTCCAGACGCATCCTTAGTATAGTCCCTTGTTGCTGTATTGTATTTTGTTCCATTACTAGATGAAAAAATTTCGGTCGGCAATGTAATTGCTACTCTCAGCAGCATATGAGGCTGTGAATGTAAAATAAATGATACAAGTACCTGACTGATCTTTTCAAATAAATTTATTTGCTTGGTGTCGGCCAAGTGCCTACATTTTACCTGTCAAGCACTTTGTGTTATGCTATGGAAGAAAATCTTGGGTTCCAAAATTCCTGTTATGCCATGCATGGGAGAAAATCGATTTGAAAATTTTCAGCTAAAGTCGCTACTTTCGATTATTTGTGCGGATTGGAAGCTCGCACGTTTAGGCGTTGTAGTGTTCGAGGTCCTTTATCTAATGAAGTTTTCAAAATTGTATGAAAATGTTTCATTCGGACACAGTATGACTTTAAAGTGGACAAAATATGAGTTTAGTACGTACCGGATACAGGTCACTGTATGAGAACGAGCCCAGGTCGATGAAAACTGGCATTTAATTGTCCATTAACAGCCTGTTAACTGTGTAAAAATCAAATGAAAAGTGTCGTTTAACAGTCATTACAATGACAACTTTTTGACTTTGAAATAACGGTGAAAATAATGCCAGATTATAGGCAATGTCTGAAAAACTGTTATTTTACGGACACCATTAAACGGCATTTTCGTCCATTTATTAGACCGCGTTAACTAATGCCAAATAAATGTGGCCGTTAAATGTCTGTTTTTTCTCCATTTCAAAATGGCAAAAAACTGGTCATAAAATGGCATTTAACAGCCATTTATGGTCACC